ACAGACACTGTTTGGGAACCTGAATGTATGATATTTCCTACACTTCCCATGAAAGAGTGGTGAAAGATAAGCAGACATAGCCATGTATGTTACTTGGCCTTAATAAGCACTAATTAATTACTTGACCTCAAATAGCATTACGCTGTTACCGTACTTATTCTCGATATTACAACTTCGATATTAACGAAATATTTTGACCTTTTTTTTAGATCCCTTCATTCATTCAAACATTTTAAAATTTTGATGGGTGAACCACAGTACTGCCTGTATACATGCTCCGCCTTTTTTATTTGCGCTGACAGTTATTGTTAGCATACTTTCGATAAATTATTTGAAGATCATGAATAATTTTAAAACCATTGAAAATTGAAAATGGTATCAATTACTGATATCAACTGATTTCAAAATTCATAATTTTTTAAAATTTGTTTTGAATTTCATTCTTCCATTTTAAAGCAATGTTTGTAATCTTTCGACTGGAAATTTGAAATTTTACAATTCAGATATCACGAGTAAAATTTTTTCTTTGATACTTATATTGTTCTTATTGCTTTGTCCTTTCATTTTTATTTTGTCTATCTTGATCATTTCCAGATGCTTTCTGAATTTCTTAATATTACACTACCAAGAGGTTTTACTATCATTGAGAAGAGAACTGATTACTGTTTTTCCTCCGCCAACAATTTTTCTCCTACTGGTAATCTTACGTACTGACATTTTTGTGAACCTTTTATTTTTCCTTCCGTAATCGATTATTACCTCCTGGTGTTATAATGTTAACCAGTAATTTTTCGCAAGTGATTCCCTTTTTTTAAAATTATTTATAACTTATATAAGTTTGCCACTCGATCAAAGACATTTGTACATCCATATACTAGAATTAAATTAGTAGTTTAACATTTGATCTTATTTCCAACCACTCATAAAATGTTGACAAAAATTCAAAAAAATTCCTGGTTTTACGTTTCACATTTGCGAACACATAGAGGCTCATGTGAAGTTCCAGAATGTCGGTCGATCCCGGTACTGCAGCTCTAGGTTATTCTTTTTATCTGATAATTTATTGAAGCGAGACGTCGTGGCTAATTGTTATTTTAGTCAGAAGAAAATGAATAATCTTCGAAAGCATAAAATGAATTTGCAAAACTATCCGAGGTAACTGTCTAGCAAAACAGTACACTGTTTTTAAAACTTTGTGTTATATCATAATTTGTCAATGGATTCAAATCAATGGGTTTTTTAATTAGACATTTAATTTCTCAAAAAGAATACAACTCGCAAATTGTACAGCCAGAAAAAAAAAGTTTTCGAAAGAAAATAATTTTGAAAATAACATTTCCTTTCGAAAACAATTTTTTTTTTAGCTGTACAGTTCGGAGTTGTATTCTTTTTGAGG